GTCTCTCATAGTTGAGGTCTACCTATGATGTCAATTACAGGCCTCTCTCATCTTTTTAAGTGGGAGAACTTGGACAATTGGTGACTGACTYAATACTTATTTTCCCCACTGTATGTCAAGCTTTCATCTAACAGTAACTAAATCACCTCTTTGGAGCTAAAATAACATCTGTCAAACTGTGTCATGTTTAGGATCATTTTATAAATTCATCTAAAAAAAGAGAACAAATAGTGATTTTCTAACAAGTTTACGTGTAAACACAAGAAGAAGAGAGTCCAGGCAGGATGGAGGAAAGTTTCAGGAGTGATTTGTGAAAAAAGGGCAGCAAAGGTCGAGGAATAGTTTACAAGAGAGTGATGAGATCAGCTGTGTRTGGTTTAAAGACAGAACTGGATGTGTCAGAACTGAAGATGTGGAGGTTCAAGGATTGATAAGATTATGAATGAGATCATTCATCGCTCCTCTGGACGTTTGGACTTGTCCAGAGGAGCAGCAGTGGTCTGGTCTTTTCTCCTTCTGTGGGTTGTGTGTCTGTGTGTGTGTTTTGCTCACGTGGTAGGTGGAGTAGGGAGGTCGTAGTCTTCCCCAGTTTCTCCAGTCAACCAGTAAGTTGTTTCCATGCCTTTACCCTGACAAAACGTCCACATTCAGACTCATATTTAGTGTTGAAGAGTCCAAGACTGAATGTTTTACCGCCCTGGACGAAAAGCTTAGTTTYTACCTTCAGATACGTTTCTCCTCTCATCTCGTACTCAAACTTGCAGTCCGTCCTCTGCAGAATGTTGATGGTAGGCTCACTGACGTGAATCCTCAGGGCTGCAGGTTGTAGTAGACACAACAGAGATCGGCTGTTCATTTATTTAATCAGGTAAACTGATAACCTCTGTAATCTGCTTAAAGCAATTTGCAGAAAGAATAATGACAGAAAGACTAGCAGCAGGAAATGTCGATGTAAATCAGTTTTCACTTGAAGTGAATTTACAGGATGTGGTCTTTTTTACTGCTTACGGTGTCCTGTAGACTCCATGCGAGACGCTGTGTTGACTGTGTCTCCAAACAAACAATATCTGGGCATCTTCATCCCCACAACACCTGCTGCACAAGGACCTACACACAACATCCAGTTTCCTGTTTAGTTCAAAAGCTTTTTAAAGAAAATGGAGGAATAAGTGAACATAGAAATGATATTGGATGTGAAAATTATTTAAATCGAATCCCATGTGTACAAAAACACAGGTTTTACCATTTTATTATTGAACAAATTATGAAACYATGACAAAAATGGAAAAGCTGTTTGCTTCTCTGGAGTTTCCAGGTTTGTGTGAAAACAGTGCCAACAAGGAAAAACAGCAGCAACTGTTGCAACTAAAGGGTTAAAGGTCTTTTCCAAACTATTTGCAGTCCCATCATTTTACAGTGAAAGAGTGTGTTCACAAGTGGAAACATTTGTTGTCCATCCTTCTGGGACTGGAAGTCCCAGAAATATCTTCCCAAGGTCAGACTGTGCAGTGATCTGAGAAATGTCAAACCTAGAGCTCTATCTCATGAGTATGGTTTGTTTGGAAACATCACTGAAAAAGCTATAGCCAAACCATACCATTTTTATTTATAAAGCACTTAAAACAGCACAAGGCAAACCCAAGTGCTGCACAGTGAAATAAATACGTGGAGGACACAGGATAAAATACACAGATCAACAGAAGTTAGAAAATATGAAAACAACTGAAAAGACCAGAAATAGTTCAGCATGTCCAGACAATAAAACAAGTCATTTAAGTCGAAGCTCAGGGAATAATAATGTTTTTAAACTTATCTTAAAAACCAGAGGTGTTTGGTAACTAACAGTACTTGGGTAAATTTATTTTGAGGATTTGTAATTTTAACAAATCTTTTTTTGTTTAGCATAACTTTTACTTTTATGTCGTTGCATTCAAAATATAAAAATGATACTTCTTTACTTTAAAATTTAACATGCTACAAATTTAAATATGGCTGGAACTCATGAAAGGAGTTGTTTATGAACTCTAAAAAATTCAGTACTTTGACTTTCCCCGATTATTGTGAGCAGTTTTATTATTTTTACTTAGATTAGTGAAATTCATTTTTACTAAAGTCATTTTCTGTTAAGGTGTTTTTACTTTTACTTAGTTTATTTTCTTTCATGTACTCTGTATACCGCTGTTAAAAACAGAGAGAGGAGGAGACTGCCTGACAAGTCATTTTGGACCTGCAACAGAAAAGGATCCATCACCTCTGAGTTTGAGTTGTTTTATAAAAATAAAGACCTTAGAGAGCTGTTAGATARATGGATGCAGTGGATCAGAGGTATGAGGGGGCAGAGCTGTTGATGTTTAAAAAAACAAACAGAAGGATTTTAAAGTGAACCGGAAGCTAGAACTGGAGCAATGTGCTSTCTTTGGCCGGTGCAATATACCGTAAACAGAGCTACAGCATTTTTAACCAGCAGCAAACAAACATTAGAGGTCTGACTGAGTGCATTACAGTAATCAAGCCTGGATGTTATCAGAGCATGCATTGCCCTGTTATTCATTTAGACAGATGAGAACAACTTCAGAGATATGTACCCAGAAACCACAGCACTGTTTGGTCAAAAACCAAACAATTCAACCTCGTACCATCTGTCAAACACAGGAAGTGGGGAGGTGATAATTGGAGCTCGTTTTGAAGCCTTAGGACCTGAGCACCTCAGAGTTATTGAGTTAATCATGAACTCCAGTGATCTTGAGCACAGCAGCTGATCTACAGAACGACTGAAAAAGGAAAAGAAATCAAGGTGTTTCAGTTATCCAGTCAAAGTTCAGGCCTGAACCCGATAGAAATGCCGTGCTGTGTGTGTGTGTGTGTGTGTGTGTGTGTGTGTGTGTGTGTGTGTGTGTGTGTGTGT